CAGAGGGACACGGCCAGGGAATTTTACAAGGACAGACAGCATGAGGGGTGGGTTGAGATGCACTAAAAGCTAAGATGAATTAGTGACCAGGTCTCACTGTGGATGAGGGTTTAGACCTGGGATCTTCAATGTTTTCCAGGCCAAGGACCCCAAAACTGATGGAGAGATGGAGCGGGGACCCCCTAATTATATATATCATATCAAATTGTGTTATATCAAACTGGTCCTATAGTCACTCTATTACAGATGGAGTAATGTAACGAAAGTAATTTCTCTCTGGGATTATTAAAGTATTTCTGATTCCTATTCCTGGTTGATGGGACAGGTGTTGTGAATGAAACAGTGTCCAGCTTGAAAGAGCTCCTGTGTGTCGCTGAATGTGTGCATTGATGACTGAAAGACATCTTCTGCCTCCATTTATCGGTTAACTACAGTGTGTTTAATTCATGATTGCGTGTATTTAAAGACACTTCAATTACCAGAAAAACTGCCGGGGGGTTTAAAAAAAAAAAAAGTCTAATTAACCAAAACTTTGCGACCCCCATGCAGTACCTCCGTGGACCCCTAGTGGCCGCGGAACCCCTGTTGAAGACCCCTGGTTTAGACCATCAGGGAGAGGTGACTGGATCTGAAGTTGGATTGATTGTGTGGAGAACCTTAGAGTGTTTGAGTGGAGGCCTGGCTGACTGGGTGTTTCTGAGGCGGTCAATAGATCCACATGCCTTGTAGTTGGCAGAGTGTGATCCTGTGGAACTGCTGCGAATCCACTGCAGCCTTAATGATCCTTGTAGCTTTTGCCAACATGTACAAAAAAACCCAACTGTTATGGTTTGAACCAAAAGGAATGTTGCTACACAACAGAACTGCAGTTATTATAAACAATCTTGTCTTAGCTTCTCTGAGTCAGAGAGCCTTCTTTAAATAACCTCTGTATTAGATTAACAAATACAAACCCTCACTGGCTCCCTAGTAAAATGAAGCTGGTCATGTTTCTATACCACACCTATGAACATTTTGTATATTCAAATCACTTGATGGGACTTTTTGGTTTTGGAAATAACCAACGTCCTTTGTTTATTGATGTGTTAAAAGCACATCAATACTCAAATATGTTACAGAAACGGGGCTGTGGTCCTTTTTGGAAACCAGTCAGAAATGTTTTTCATCTCCTCCAATCCTTCCAGCAACTCAGTTTACTTTTAAGCAGATTGCTTTGTTGCTTCACCTTCAGTAACCTGGTCCAGATCAGACAGGGCATAACTCTTCAATTCTTTTATCTTAAACAACTTAATGCTAAGGAAGGCCTGGTCAGCTGTTTTGGGTTTGTGGCCTTGGCTCCTTTCAGCTACATTTAAAGGGGTTTAAAAGAGCACAGAAACACTGCATTATTTGATTTGATTATTTTATTGATTCAAATATTTGAAGAAACAAAGTAAATCCTGCTCTTTTTTAGCATTTTAGGTTTAAAAAATGGACAGAAAAAAACTCAGGTTAATCCCCTATCCCTTTAACAGAACCTCATCATATGGGAGGAAGAAGTTAAAGATTTACAACAGTGAGCTATAACTGATACGGAATCACCATTAGTGAAGTTTTACTTACTCAAAACAGAGAAAACCCATTCTGACTGAGTTCATTTCAGTAACAATCATACAGGTTTTAAATTTACAGACTCTCTATATTGATAATTATTAGAAAAACTCTCAGATAATAACCTTGTCTCCATATTAACAAGGCGTAGATACACAATCATTATCATTGTATTGTACCCTACTGCAAGCGACAAATTGTTGCTCCTATAACAATTAGGCCACCTAGTAGGGCCCCAAGAGTAGTTAAAAAGCTTTTAAAATCATATGATTTATATTCATTTTCTGCTCTACTAATCGCCTCATTAACATCTATCCCCGGGTTTTGTTTCATAATGGTCAGAACAGCTTCTATTTTGACTCTCTGAGCTTCTTGAATCTTCTCGTTGGTGAAGTAGGTTCCTCCATTTCGCTGAACCATCCTGTTAACTTTCTTAAGCAGCTCTCTAACTTGGGATGGATCCTTGGATCGGTTGTTGAACACATGATACCCTCCACCACACTGACAGATGAAATCCTGGAGAGGTGGGTTTCCCTTTATATAATCATTGATATCAACCCCGTCCTGCTCCAGATCATCTCCATGAGTGAACAGCACCATGGTGTAACGTGCTGCCTTCTCTCCAAAAATCCTGTTGCTAAGTTTTACTGTTATTTGATCTTCTTCTGTGAATCTGCCTGTTTGGATCACAGCTAGAAAGACATGAGGACCAGGAGCGCAGAGCATGATGCATCTTCCAATCTCATCGATGACATCCTTCTGATTCTTTTCCGTACCATACAAAGCTGGAGTATCAATTACAGACAGCAACTGACCCTCAAACTTAGCTGTTTCCTTCTGACACACTGATTTTACTGAGGAGGGGCCGGGGAAAGATGTGAAACATTTCTGTCCCAAAATGGTGTTTCCTGCTGCGCTCTTCCCAGATCCAGATCTTCCAACTAGCACCATCCTGATGTACTTCTCTTCTTCTTCTTCTGTTAGAGATGTAGATAACAATATATTGTTTTAGTAAGAAGCATTTATACCATGACATCTACTGTTAGTATTTTATGATCCTGAGGACGTTTAGGAAAATCTTAATATTGTGAGGAGTTTGGTTCTAAAACTACAGCCTTATGTAAACATAAGGCGGTGATGAGACTGAGAATGAATGTCGATGTGCAAACTGTGGACTGCTAAAAAGCTACTGCTCTGAGGCCATAGAATATTAAACAGTGAAATGGCAGCCGGACTATCTGCCACAGGAATTTACTGCCAATTGTTCGAAATGTAACTGCTTCTTCATAATCTTCTTCTTCTATTCCTGAAACAACTGTGACTTCCTGTATCAAACCTCTGGGGACACGTATGCAGGTTCAATTGACATTACATCCATAGGATGCAGCAGGAAATACATTTTGCTGAATTGCAGCGTGTTATGCAGCACACAGCCTATTCAAGGCAATGGAGATACAGTGGGGCAAAAAAGTATTTAGCCAGCCACCAATAGTGCAAGTTCTCCCACTTAAAAAGATGAGAGAGGACGGTAATTTTCATCATAGATATACCTCAACTATGAGAGACAAAATGAGAAAAAAAAAATCCAGAAAATCACATTGTCTTTAAAGAATTTATTTGCAAAATATGGTGGAAAATAAGTATTTGGTCAATAACAAAAGTTCA